ATTGTAGGCACTCAGTACAGGGAAGTTAAAACTCTGAGTCATATTGAATCATTTCACTCAGTGTTCTCAGATGCTTGCCTTTTGGCTATTCCATAGCTCATTTATACTTATCCATGTTGGGTGGGTTAGGAGGAAAATGAATCCCAACTCAACCCTGTCTGTCTAATGCAAGTCAAATGTGTTCAGCGAAAGCATAGGAGTTTAAATGGTAATAAATCTGGTGAAAATGAGTTAGGTCATGATCTGCTTTTTTGGGTCCAAACTAAATGGTGGTTTCAAAAACTCACCTGCAATCAATTTCTGATGATAATCAGTAAATATTCTACCACAGATTTTCTTTCTGGGTAAAAAATCCAACATCAAAGTTCTCATAGACTGAAGTGTATTCATTTCAAGCACTTTCCATACAGAATCCATCTTGGCCTCTCTCCACATAGTTTGAAAATGGTTGCCTACTTCCAGACACCTGCTCCATCTTGAGTTAATACTGGATATAGCTCACACTGCAAGTTAGCACAGGCTTCATAGAAGCCTAGTAGGCAAAAGGGGGACTCTTTGCATTCAGTGAGAAATGAGCACAGCCTTAACTTGGCAGAACTATTTATTAAAATGATGATTTAGGAGAATTTTCAAATGTCACTCTTACTTGTGGATCTCACTCTCTGCTTCAGGTATAAACATTCTTTTGGACAGCGCTGCCTTGTTTCTGGGGCTTGGTGTAATTATTAGTAGGTCCCCCTTTCACTCTCAAGGGTCCCTCTTCAGATGATAAATTCTATGATAATCTCCTACAGTCCTTTATCAAAGATATATTGTTTTTATTAATCTAAGAAAAATTACCTTACCTTCCTCCAGCAGAATCTTTGGTACCCTATCATGAAGTCATTGAAGTATTTCTTCAGAGCGGTAATTAAGAGCCATATAAACTAATGGATGAATAACTCCCTACTGCTCTCTTATTGGTGAAAGCAAATAAGGTAACTTTATAGGGACTCATCTAATAGAACAGCACTAGAAGTGAAACATATGGGCTTCGTGTTTATATTTGCAAAGCAATTCCCAATCATTTTATTTATTTATTTTATAAAGTTTATTTATTTATTTTGAGAGAGAGAGCATGAGCAGGGGGAGAGGGAGAGAAAAAGGGAGAGAATCCCAAGCTGGCTCCAGGCTCTCAGCACAGAGCCCACCTCAGGGCTGGATGTCACAAATCGTTAGATCATGACCTGAGCTGAAATCAAGAGTTGGACACAACCAGGCACCCCATTTCCCAATCAATTTAATTAGTTTTGTTACTTAATATAAGCAAGACTATGCACCTACATTGAATAGCAAGGGAATGGAGACCTAGAGAAAGCTAACTCTGTGCTTTCTGGAATGCCATTCCATGCCCGAATTCTGAAAACTTTGTGATAACATACAGCTTTTACAGACTTGAGTCACCTCCCTTCCTGTTCTTTGGGGAGATGTTTTGTGGTGTCGCAACTTGAGGGTAGTAAGATTATCAGAGCATCGCCAGAGATGCTTTGAGAGTTATTGCGGAAGACAGGTTTCCATGTGCAGTGTGGCTGCTGGGAGGAGCCACGTGGCACAACCCCAGCCATTCTCTCTGGAGGGAAAGAGCCGGCTTGTAGTATCCTTCTGGATAGTCTCGAGGCATCTGAGACAGATGGATTATCAGGTTGGGCCAGCTGGGTTCTTATGGAGTCTCATAATCTGGAGGTGGAGGAATGACAGGAAGCAAGGATGACCTACCTGTTTGCTAATATCCTTTTCATCTGAAGGTACTATAGCTTGAATCTAGCTTATGGTCTGTCCTCAGATAGCTGGTCTCCTGTTTGCAGCCTAGTTCTGAGGGAAGAAAAGTTCAAAGCAAAGCGAAGGAGCCCAGGAATGGCTTGCCATCCAAAAACTGTGCTTGGAGAGCCCTTATCTTGGGGGCAAATGCACAGCAGCTAAGGAGAGAACAGAGCCAGGAAACCGGAAGAGAACCATGTCATGATGCTTGTTTCAAAACGGCTTTTCCACAGTCTTTCACCCAAATGTCCTAATTCAAGGGGATGGGGAATGGAGGGAGCAAATGGAGTACAGGATAGAAAATGCCACAGCTTTGGTAATGGTGCCTTGTGGGAGTGATTAGAATCGGCTGGGTGTCACTCCTGCCGGAAGGTGGCTAAAAGACCCAGAACGCTGAGAGGTTAGTCAAAGGTACACTCCACAGATCTTGTAACCCAAGCCCCTCATTTTACATGGGATCTTTCAGGATGTCACTGAACTGCTAGCTTGGCAGGTGCACCAAGCCGCTTTAGTCTAAAAGATTTAAACAACATAAACCAGGAGTAATTTCTTCCTACTGTGAAGAACTGTCATGAGACCTGAATGACTCTGGAAACAAATCGCAGTACTTCCTGTCTGGCCAGGGAGCTTGCTCTCCACGGCTGCCCACTGCCCCTAATGGTGAGGCCCTGTTAGAGGCAGCGAGGCTGAAGCTTTAGGATCTGTTCCTTAATTTTGTATTCTTTTGCTTAAAGACCACTCCCCACGCTATTTTATAAGCTCTAGGTCTTAGAAAACCTGAATCTTGGTCTGCCTGTCCTACATGGTACATCTAACCATCCTGGTGCTCCAACATGCTCGTAATCAGAAGAGGAGACCAGGTAAGGCTGGGGATGACTCAGCTGGACCAGGCTGGGAGACAGGCTGGGGCCTGTAAAGCACTTGGGGCAGGCACAACACTGAGGGCTGCTGGCTCATGTAATGTCTCAACCCTCTACCCACTCCTTGTTTCCACCTCCAGTTCCTTGCCTAGACCAAACTTGTCTTCAGGTCTACAGAGCCAGGATTTTAGATTTGGTGAAGGTCTTTGTCATCATCCCTCATTCTGCATGCTCTCAGAAGGGCGTGAACCCCTGAGGTTTGTGAACTCCCCTCCCTGCAGAGTGAAGCCACAGTGTTGGCCAATACTATAAGCAGGAAGAATACTTGGTTCAGTTATTAGATATAATCTGTCTGGTGTGTCCCTGCGTGGGGTGGGTGGAAACCAAAGAATGGTGTCTACCTATCTAGGCAGTGAATAAAACACAAATGAGTGCAATTCTGCACACCTTCACTTAGTGCCCATTATGAGCAAAGCTTCTGTGTTACCCCCTGAAGGGACAGAAAGCTGACAAGATATGATGCTGGTCCTCAGTATTTATATCAGAGAACATGGTGTGAAAAGCTCGTCCCTCATTTGCTATTTATAGCTGCCATTTAGTCAGCACCTGCTATTCAGCTGGACTTTTTATTATATATATTGTCTCTACTTTTACTGACAACTCTAGAAGGTAGATAGCATTCTCATTTTGTGCATGTGGAAATTGAGGTTCAGTGAGGTTATGTGACTTATCTAGGTTAAGCAGCTGGGGCATCGCTCTGCTTGTTAGGGGCTCGTGGAGGCTGAAGGCAAGCATGTGTAATGTTAGATGAAGGTGGAAAGGCGATGGGCTTGCCTAACCTTCTATTTTCTGTTTCACACAAGCCTGGATTGAAGTCCCAGTTTTAACACTCTGTGTGGGTTTGGGGAAAATGCTCTCTGTCTTGCTTTCCTCATCTATAAACTGGACAAAATTCTTCACAATATATTTGGAGAGATGAAATGAGATGATGTGGATGTGGCTCAGTTCCTGGCACATTCGGGTACAAAATGACTCACTTTGGTACAAAATGCTCAGCACATAGATCTGCATGCCACTTCCTCAGAAATGTACGTTTTTACCGATTTGTTGCCTTCTCAGTGAGGCCTTCTCTGGCCACCCTATCTAAAGGCCAACCCCATTCCAACTCTTCATACCTGTAGCCCTACCTTAGTTAACACCAACTAATATGTTACAAATTGGACTTATTTATTTTTGTTTTTCTTGTCTGCCTCCACCGACAAGACGGTAAAGTTTTTGAGACCAGGAATCATTGTATTATTTCTGTATCGTCCCAAGCACAAATATACATTGGTTAAAAGAATAAATTAAAAATCAAACAAAAACTCTCTCTTTGGAATAGAAAATTGGCTTTTAATTTGGCTTTTTCCTATTTGATCCTGGGTACATTACTTAAAATGTCTAGGCCTCAGTTTCCTCTTCTGTAAAGTGGGAAGAATGATGGTATCAATTTTAAGACTGGTAGGATAATTAAGCGATGTGTGTATAAAACTCGCACATATCAAGTGCTGGATAATTGCTTGCTATTATGATCACCTGAAGTAATCTGACCAGTTATTTAAATTGTCTTTCAATGCTGCCCATAGCTTTTAGGATAGGAGAAGAGGAGGCTAAAAGCCAAGGATGCCCTGTGTGTTTTCAGCCCAGTGATCCCCCTTGGTAGGCCACTGACAGTTGAATAGGTGTTAAAGTGCTGTGTTCTCACCGCAAGGCTGCCGACATGTCTGGACTACCGTTCCTACTGAGGAAGAAAGCAAACTGAGGCTTGCCCAAGGTCAAATGACTTGCCCAAGGTCAAATGACTTGCCCAAGATCACTCACCTCTAAAACCAGGGCATGCAGAACCCAAACCCCAATGCTGGGCTTCCTACAATTGTATTATCCGCCGCCTCTCTTCCAAGCTCTCTCAGGAGCGTGGGTTGGAGGCGCAGCTGTGGGCTCAGGAGCCCTGCGTTCACCAGGCTTTTCACTTTTCATCTCCCGCAATGCACTGAACTTTTCTAACACCCAGTTTTCCCGCATGCAGAACGTGGGAAATAAAGCCCACACCTCACAGCTTTGCGTTCAGGATCACAGGCGAGGAAAGCTCTTTGGAAACTGCAAAGCGCCCTACGAATAACCTCCGCAACAGGCATTCACGCTCGAGTCCCCGGCTTCCCAGTCCCGGGAGACGCCTCCGTCTCCGCCCACCTCCGGGGCAGCGCGGCGCGGGGTAGGAAGGACAGTTAACCCCCGGGCGTCTGTCTGGGCGTTTCTCCAGGCGGCGGGGGAGGAGTTCCGCCTCCCGCCCCCGCCCCGCCGCTCGGCTCCCCGGCGCCCGCACCCGCGCTGCGCGAGTCGCTCTCCCGCCCAGGCCCCGGCTGGCTGCGCTCCCCCGGTCCCGCACGCACGCGGGCGGCCCGCCAGGATGCAGGCCGCGCACAAGGAGCACCTGTACAAGCTGCTGGTGATCGGCGACCTGGGCGTGGGCAAGACCAGCATCATCAAGCGCTACGTGCACCAGAACTTCTCCTCGCACTACCGCGCCACCATCGGCGTGGACTTCGCGCTCAAGGTGCTGCACTGGGACCCCGAGACAGTGGTGCGCCTGCAGCTCTGGGACATCGCAGGTGAGCGCCCCGGGAGGAGGCGAGGGCGGGAGGGCCTCGCAGCGGGTTGAGGTCTAGTTAGGGCGCTGCGCCGCAAGAGACTCTTTCTGGTGGGTTGAAACCTTGTTTTCAAAGAAAACAAAGTTTTTATCTCTCTCTCACTGGATGAAACTTCAAGTGCATTCCCTGGCGCTTTGGGATTGCTGCTTGAACTCCCGCTCACACCTTCTCCTGGGATCTTTCAACCCACCGCGGGCCCCCGAAGGGACCCCGAGAGAGACTATCAGGAGTTGCATTCACTTCTCGGTCTCCAACTCTTTTTCCGGGCGTGGGAAACGCTGCCGGTGATGAGGCCCTCAGTGTCATGCCAGCCACCAAGTGGGGAGTCCTCAGGCCTGTTAATAGCGGGAACCAGGAAAGTTCTAGGATAGAGGGGTTGACTCACTTGCTGTTTTTAATTGCCCATTGCTCCTGCCTCCCTTTCTACCCTTCGGTCAAGCGATTTTGAGGTTCTCAGCTTTGAGGAAGCCAAGGATCTTTGTGTGTACCTATTGGGGGCAAAGTATTATTTCTCTCTCTTTCTCTGGCTCTCTGTGGTCTAAAACGATTCTATGCACATACCTTAGGGTCACTTTTGTCAGAGTCTATGACATTAGTCATAAGATTTCTTTCTTTTTTAGAAGTTTATTTATTTATTTTGAGAGAGGGAGTGCGAACAGATGAGGAGCAGAGAGAGAGGGAGAGAGAAATCCTAAGCAGGCTCCAATCTGTCAGCACAGAGCCCATCCTGGGGCCACTCAGGCACCCACTCTAGCCCTATGATTTCTTGATTTGGCCCTAACGTTTTCACTGAGAAATCTGGAAACTGTGAAGCCTCATTACAATGTTTGAAACCACAATTTGATTCTGAGGGTTTGTACCCAGAGTTGGGCAGGGCGTTAGGCAAATGTATGTCTGCTCCAACCCTGAGTCCTTGGACTGAAGCTGTTTGCAACTTGGGCATGTCCAACCCCTCATTATAGTTCCTGGCTTGGCTACTCACTAACCTGCTCAGTGGCTTCAGACAAGTCCCTTCAGCTCGGTTGCATCCTTGTTAAGTGGAAAGGGGTTGGACATGGCAGCTCAGGAGTCTTTCGGCTCAGAAGTTTTAAGGATTCTTTGTGAACAATCCCATCTCATCTCTGACTGTTCCGTGGCCTGTGGTACCAGGAGCCTTTATAAGTGCTGGACCGAAACCAGCCACTTGTCCTTCAGAAAATAGCTTCATTTTTAGCTGGTGTATTTGACTGGAAACACTTTATCATGACTCGAAGCAAGAACAAATGTGGAAAATTTTTGAAAGGGTACTTCTGGTTCTGGGGACTCGGTGCCTCTTTAATCATGAGCTCCCAAGTCTTATGATAAAACTTTTGGCATGTGAGCAGATTCATGCATTTGGAGTCATCTTCGGCAGCTCTAGTAGCACAGGACTTACCAGAGACCGGAAGACGTCACCAGCCACTATCTGATTGGGCTTTTCATCCAGAAAAGCCACTCTGAGTCTCTGTACTTGGTTGCTGCATGTTTTAGTGTCTGAAAACTTCTGGCTGCACTGGAGTGTCCAGGACTCAAGTTTAGAATTAGCTTACTGTTTGAAAGGGGAGGTAGCTGTAATTTAAACTTTTGTGTCAAGTGCAAGTAAGAATGTGACTTAGGCATGTTACATAATGTCCATGAATCTCAGTGTCTGCACCTAATAGAGAAGATAGGAAGGTATAGTGATTAAGAGCTTAATTCCAGAGTTGCACCGCTTTCAACTGAAACCCTGTTTTACCCTCACATGTCCTGGGCGATTTTAGGTAAGTTCCCTTACCTCCTGATATCAGTTGCCTTATCTGTGATGTAGGCAGAATGCTTTCTTCCAATAAATGACAAATGAGCAAGCAACAGATGCCAGCTAAAGGTAACAATCCCTACTATCTAGGAGAGCTGCAAGGATAACCATTATACTAACTACCATTTTTTTTGACCAAGTATAAATGCTAGGGCAGAAGGACATGATATAAATGTGTCAACTAAATCTTAATCAATAATGGGGGACCCCGGGTGCTCAGTCAGTTAAACATCAGACTCTTGGTTTTGGCTCAGGTCATGATCTAGGGTTCATGGGTCTGAGCCCAGCAATCAGGTTGCAGTGTGACCCTGCTTGAGATTTTCTCTCTCTCTCTCTGCCCCTCCCTGACTCATGCTGTCTCTCTCTCTCTTTCTCTCTCTCTCCCAAAAAAAAAAAAAAATAAGTAAACTTTAAAAAATTAAGAAAGTAAATGTTAATAAATATAGAATATATAATCAGTTCCAAATGCCCAGCACCATCTTTCAGCTTTATCCGTATTACAACATGCTCTCATGAGCAGTTTAAATCCCAAGTTTAGAAATGCCCCCTGAGCCATCGTTTTGGACTAAAGTGGCTGTGGAGGCTCTAGTGACAGAGGTCTGTGTACATAAGAAACCTGAGGAGTTTTACAGACATAGCAGTGTGTAGCAGCTCAGTAGGAGAACGTCTTCTTCCCAGAGCTCTGATGTTCAGTGGGAGTCTGTCTTTGGCAGCCTCCAGCCCAAAGACCCTGTGAGCTGAGTTAGAAGCTGGGCATCAGGCACAGCTGGTTATGGGGAACCTGGGCATTTGTGGGAAAGGATGATTGGAGCATCGTGGTGACAAGTTTCAAGCTACATCGGTAGCCCTGTGAGGAGTGAACTCATATGAAATCTGGCCTCAACTGCCCACTCAGATTCCAGTCAGCTAACTGTACCTCACGGCACCTTCAGATCAGCCTGTCTGTCCAAACACAGGAGTGCTTCTCTCTCCTCTTTATTCTCAACTCTGCTGTGTGTGGAAAGAACAGGTGAAGCTGAAGGGTGAAAGGGTAAGCTGGTTGGGAGTGTGGATGCGATAGAGGGGATGGGCCCTGTCTTGATAGATTATCAGATCCATCTGCTATAGAGGGGATCTTTGCTCATTAGACTTTTGATATTCATTTGATTCAATGCCAAGTTGAGCTCTATTTATTTGTCCAACTAATTTCCATAATATATCTTTTGTAACCACTTCAACTGGCCAGTCTGTTCCTGAAAGACTCTAAAAAATACTTCATAGAAGGGCACCTGGCTGGCTCAGTCAGTAGAGCATGCAACTCTTGGTCTCCGGGGCATGAGGTCATGAGTTGGAGCCCCATGTTTGGCCTAGAGATTACTTAATAAAAGAAAAAAATGCCTCTCAGGGTGAAGTGGGCCTTGAAACCAACATGGTAAATTCCACAGACCTCATAGGGAATGGCAATCACCCTGAATCCCAAAGATTCTACCACAGAGGAACAAGTGGGTCAAAGCTCTTGATAGCGTCAAGAGAAATTAAGTCATTTTGTCCAAGGCCACTAATAAGTGGGAGAGCCAGATTTGATACAGTTTTTTCTAACTTGGAATCAAGCTATGCTCTTCATGATCAAGGCCCATGAGTACCTGGGGCATCATTGGCCCATTGGGGTTATACCTTCTTCTCCTTAACAAGTATTGCTTCTTTAGTAAATAGGTTGTCCTTGCCTTCTCCTTCCTATTTCTTTTTCTTTTTGTTTTTTATTAATGTTTTCATTTTTTTAGTCAGCAATCTTTAGTATATTCAATGAGACAATTAATATTACAGTAGTGAAGATTTCTCCAATAGTTACAACATTTAAACATTAAAACTTAGGAAATCTTTCCTGGAAATGATATAGCATTGGAAATTCTCACATGATTGAAAGTGTCTGTATTCCAATCACTTGCCATAACCCAGTTTTTCATGATTAGGCAAGGCACACTCTTTTCCACCTTCATAAAGTACCAGCATCAAGGGATACAGGTCCTTTTAGTTCTTGTTTTATAATATAGTTAATGTTTTCATTTTTGAGAGACAGAGTATGAGTCGGGGAGGGGCAGAGAGAGAGGGAGACACAGAATCTGAAGCAGGCTCCAGGCTCTGAGCTGTCAGCACAGAGCCCAATGTGGGGGTCAAACCTATGAAGTGTGAGACTGTGACCTGAGCTGAAGTCAGATGCTTAACTGACTGAGGACCGCCTTCTACTTCCTGTTTCTAACATTTTTGGATATTAATCAGAACCAGTATGCAGATAGAAAGGGGAAAAGCAATGAAAATCTATTTCTGAAAATTTAATTCTTGGTTTTAAGGTCTTTAAAATAGATTTATCAGGAAAAAAGTAAACAAAAGGTTCACACTTGAGACTCTTCTATTTCTCTCCAAATCTGATACTATAATTACTCCTTTAGAATTTTCAAAGAGAACTATACAATTTTGTCTTGAACTCTCAATGTGCTTTGGGACCCAGCTGCAGGAATTGAGAGAGTCATAGTAATAGTAGCTCACATTTCATATGCATTTATTCTTACAGTTGTCCACACATTTTAATTTTTAATTCCCCAGTAAAATAGCTAGTTAAGTGGTAGTGCTAGAACTTAAAATGTGGACATGCTTAGGTCTCCATCTTAAAGTTTGTGGGATCGAGCCTTGCATTGGGCACTGTGCTGACAGCACAGAGCCTGCTTGGGATTTCCCCCCTTTTTTATGGCCCTCCCCTGCTCATGCATGTATACACACACATACTCTCTCTGTCTCTCTCTCTGTGTCTCTCAAAATAAATAAATAAACTTTTAAAAATTTATAAAAAAATAAAATTTGGTCATGGAATCTAGCACCCAGTCTCCTAACAGTTTTGCTCAACTTCCCACAATTTAAAATACTTTTGACGTATTCCAAATATACTTTAAAAATATACCTGACATTGAGTAAGCAATGAAACCTTGCTGGACCACAGTTGCCCTGTCTGTAAATGGCTAGTGTTGCATTTTCCTATGACATCACATATTTGTATTATGTTATCTCTTGCAGTTCCCGTCAGCTCTAGTAGGTTTTCACTCTGCCCAGGTTGTATGTGAAGCATATTCCAGCTTCTTTCCTTGCTAGGTTTGTGACCTGTGCAGGTCACTTAGCT